GCTTCCCGAACTGATTTGCTTTTTTTTTTTTAACTTTGAAAGGTTATTTTTTTTTTAAAAAATCATAATTATAATATGTGGACGATAATGTCCCTGACTTTAGTTTTAATCAAGTTGACTTCTGAGAGATTAATAATGAATATCATACTGCAAATATTTATTGAGCACACACCTCATTCCTACATTATTCTAAATTCTTGCCAAGTTTGGATTCATTTAATCGTCCCAGTGACCTTATGATATAAGTACAATTATAATCCCTTTTATGCAAATAATATTGGTCAATGAGGTAGAGGTGGAACTTGAACCCAGGAAGCCTGGCTTTGTTTCAACTTAGCTCTACATCTACATGAATCCAAGGTGCAGCCCTCTGATGTGAGAAGACAAATCCAGACACTGCAAACCCAGGTAGGATAGCCCCAGCAAGAGAGCCTCCAGTTCTGCCAATTGAGTGCACGTTTTACTGTGACCACAGCTGACAAAAAGAAATGAATTCATTGCCATTGCATGGAGGATTTAAGCATTAAATCAGGAGTTTAAATCATGATCTGGTGGAGCCATCGTCTGCATTAACTTCAGCTGACAACTCAGTTCACCTCTATTACAACGGTCATTATTTGTTGGTAACAGTTTTCCTCTTCTGGCAAAACAAAGTAAAGCAACTGATTTGTTGTTATATTAATCCCGATTGAATTGAGCCTTCTCTTCATTCTTTCTTTCTCTCTTTGCTAAATATTTATCTAGCTTGTGTTTTTCTCCCCACTAGACAGTAGTTCTTTGCTATTTTACATTTTTATAACTCTTTCCCTTAATATGCTGCTACCTTGGACTTTGAAAAGCTGTTAAGGTTTTAGTTAATAGATTACTAACAGCAAATGGAGGAGTATGTGATTGAGTGAGTCACTTGGTCATTCCCTTTTAGTTTCTTCCTGGCATTTGAGGCAACCTGTCTCTGCCTGAGCAAACCCCGTTTATTACTTGGGAATTGATGGAATCTCTCTGGCCACTGCTTTCTCTCAACACTCAGCACTCTGTGGCTGAATGTCTCTTGTGTGGTATTCATAATATTCTATATGCATTTTTCGATGATAGCTATTTTAATAGAATAGCAGTTTTTAAAAAATGGGTAAGAGTTCAACTTTTCCTCCAAAGAGGAGGATGTCTGCAGATTCCTGACTTCCTTTCATTATTCAGAGTGTCAAGGTGATTCTTCAAGTAAAACCCCTATTCTCTCTTGTTGTCTTATCCTGATGAAGTCAGTGGAAGTGGAAGTGTTTTGACATTGACTTGAACTTAGAAGAAATTGTTTAATTGCACCATTTAATCTCAACACCAAGGCTTGCAGCCTTGTATTTATTCTTGGGCTCATGTGCAAGATTTTTTTTTTTTTTTTTTTTGTATAACCCATAGTCTAACTGGAACTACTTCTGGTACTTTTCTTGGATTTAATAACTCCCAAACATAGCCATTTAAGACTTGGCATTGGGTAGAGGTGGTGTGTTGTTCTTGCTATCTGTGTGGTTGGGAGAAGAGCTGGGGGTACAGTCTTCTTTCTATCTATCTATCTATACATTTTTGTACCTATGATTGAACCCAGAGTCACTTACTCATTGAGCCCCCCCCCCCTTTTTAATGTTTTGAGACAGGGTCTCATTAAGTCCTTAGGACCCCAGCCCCCCCTTTTTTAATGTTTTAAGATAGGATCTCATTAAGTCCTTAGGACCTCCCTAATTTGCTGAGGCTGGCCTCAAACTTGCAATCCTCCTGTCTCAGCCACCCGAGTTGCTGAGATTACAGGTGTATGTCACCATTCCTGGCTGTACCAATATTTTTTAATGCTAATTCAGAAGGATTATGGGGCAATTACCCACCAGGGTACCTGAAGTTAAACCATCCCTGCTTTCTGTTGCTATGATTTGCAATTTTGAGGTGCAGATCAGGGGTTGGGTAAGGGTCCTTACACTATTGGACTATGCATTTCATTCTTTTGCAAAAGCAGGGAAGGCTGGAGCCTAGTGGGTTTCACTCAACTCTGAATGCTCATTCGAATCAACAGGGAGCAAGCTGGCTGCAGTGGTGCATGACCATAATCCAAACAACTCAGAAGGCTGAGGCAGGAAGTTTGCAAGTTCAAGGCCAGCCTCAGAAGCTTAGTCAGAACCTCAGCAACTTATCAAGACCCTATCTCAAAATGAAAAAGGATTGGAAATGTAGCTCAGTGTTACAGCACATATGGGTTCAATCCCCAGTGCCACAAAGAAAGAGAGAATCTCAATGGGAAGCATGGCCGTTCTCTCACAGGTCCTACAACCCAGCCAAGGCAGTGCTGTGTCGGGGAGTGAGGCTGTACTGGCATAGTTCCATCATAACTACATCACTTAGTAGGTTCTTTTTTTTTCTTTGTTTGTTTATTTCTTTTTTACATGTAAGAAATAATTTGATGTGTTCAAAAATGGGGTACCTGGTTAGTCAGGGGCTGGGATGGTGTGTTCACCCTGTGAACTCTGCTAAGGTACCTCTTCTGAGTTGCTCTTTGTCCATCTATTAGGATGCCTTTCCAGGATTTAATCAGGATTAGTTGTGAAAGACTGGAAAAGCACTGTGTTAAAAAAAGGAGGAGGAGGAGGGGGAGGGGGAGGGGGAGGAGAGAGAAAGAGAGAAAGAAAGAAAGAAAGAAAGAAAGAAAGAAAGAAAGAAAGAGAAGGAAGAAAAGAAGAAAGAGAGAAAGAGAAAGAAAGAAAGAAAGAAAGAAAGAAAGAAAGAAAGAAAGAAAGA